GGTGGTTGCAAGGAGGCGTTCGTAATTCTCTGGAGCCAGCCTCGTGTTACTTCCCTGCTGGTCGCAACCAGTCAGGAGGGGCACGGATCCAGTAAACAGGTGGAGGCACTCATCGCTCCCATGGCCTTGTCCACTTCATCAGGAGTGACAAGCTGGAACTCATTCCAGAAAGTCTGAACAAGACCCTCCCTCGGCATCTCCGCTGGTTCTGTCCAAATGGACTCCAGGTCTGTCCAAATCTGAACGATTTTGTCCGACAGAAACTGAGCAAACTCCTCAGCTCGTCCCTGTAAGGCATCCCCCATTTCCCCCCCTTTCAGGAGCGAATGGGTTATCCTAAACAGGGCGGCTGGGCGAGATTCTGCGGACGCAATAAGAGCGGAAAAATGCGCACATTTTGCCGCCCGTATCGCCACTAAATAAGTCCTAGTAAAGGCTCTTAGTAGTGTTCGGTCGGATTCGGAGTTGCTAGCCCTCCAACATTGCTCTAGGCGCATGAATCAAGCAGAATCTATTGATTGCAAACTGGATCTAATCAGGGATGTGCAACCACATCCAGAACTAAGGTTGACAAACACTAAGTCTTGAGGCTTGATGTACCCAAAGCCACTTGATCTTGTCAAGATTAAGTCGAAATCTGTTGCCCCCCATCCAAATCTCTGCAGCCTCCAGGCATCATGAGAGAGCATAGATAGCATCACTCCGATCACCTTGTGTAGTCCTTTTGAGGAAAAGATTATTTATTTATTTATTCATGTTTTTCCCAGAGACTCTTAGTAGGTTACAATTATCATAATGAAAACACATATAGTACAATTTCAAATCACCTAACAATAAAACATGTAATTCCCTATAATAAAACCATGTATTAAATCATAAAATGACTTACATAAGAGCAAACAGTATAAATTGAAATATCTAGTGTATTAATCAAAGGCCCTTTGAAACAATCCTGTTTGTAATAATTTTCCTAAAGCCTAACAAGGAGCTGTTCAGATTTCAGAGACATGGAGCTCAATAACATTAGCACTACCACAGAGAAGTAATATCCACATTAACTTTGTCTGAGGTACTTTGGAGCATTTATGTGTGTGTTACGTATTGATGCCGAGGTGGCGCAGTGGTTAGAGTGCAGTACTGCAGGCCACTTCAGCTGACTGCTATCTGCAGTTCGGCGGTTCAAATCTCACGGGCACAAGGTTGCCTCTGCCTTCCATCCTTCCGAGGTGGGTGAAATGAGGGCCCAGACTGTGGGGGCAATATGCTGACCCTGTAAACCGCTTAGAGAGGGCTGAAAGCCCTATGAAGCAGTATATAAGTCTAACTGCTATTGCTATTGCTATGATTTAGGCTTGTCCTATTGTGCAGCCACAGCCAAGAAATTCCAACTTGCCCTTCAGCCACAATTGTGCCTGCAAAGAGTCATCACTGAATTGTGATTATCTGTAGCAAAGAAAATTCTCAATTATAGCCTGAAAAAAATAAAAACACCATCCTCTCTTTTTTCCTCCTTATAGGTGTAAAAGGTCGTGTTCTGAATCAAAAGAACAAACCCATTGCAAATGTGATCGTGGAAGTTCAGGGAAGGAGGCATATATGTCCTTACGTAACCAATAAAAATGGTGAATATTACCTTCTCCTCCTGCCTGGAGTCTACACGCTCAATGTAAGTACAATACTCTTATCCAGTTCTTATCCAAAATTCTTTTGTATTTTGTTTAATCTGTCCCAGGCCCTTAAAATCTATTAATCTAAGGGATTTGAAATAACTTGTGTTTCAAGCTTTAGGATACGAAATGAGCATTCTGCACATGGAGCAAACATTTACATTGATAATGGAACTTCCAAGTTACTCTGAAAATTAGAATAGTAAACATAGTAAAGCATACTGACAAGACTAAATTTTGTTTTTCAGGCAACCCTCCCTGGATTTATGTCATTACAACAGGAAGTAGTTTTACCAAATGGTGCAGAAAAATTCAGTGCCTATGAATATGACTTTATTTTCTCCCAGGGATCTACCTCAAAAAAGCCTGTTCCATGTCCATTGAAACCACTTTATTCAAACAGTGTTAGTACGGTTACTGTTACAGTGTTTAACTTTCTAATTTTTGTATATATAGGCATATAACATTTGTATTTTTAGATTTGCTTTTTAACATTTCTTGACTATAGAAGATTTTAATTTTTATTGAGTTATTCTGGATAATAAAGTCTTTGAATTAACAACTGCATTCTGTTTCAGCCTTTGAGAATAGGAAAATGTGCACTCGGGTCACAGTGATATAATTATTAATTTATGATTAATTTAATGAAACATCACCTTTGCCTTTCACTTAAAATAGAATTACTATACTAACATAACTGGATCTTAAGGATAAAAATGATAGGTCAGAAGAGACCAACATGATGTTTTAATTTTACATGATTGGTCTTTTCTCTTTAATGGACAAATGAATGCAAAAATTTGCTTGAATAAATTCTTTTTTCCCACTGTGTAGGGCATCCTCTACACACATGGAACCTACTCTGAGCCAACCTGAGCCAATGAGATTATTTTATTAGTACCTATTAAGCATCTATAACAAATGCTCTTGGATATGGTACTGTATAAAAAAGCATGATCTGTTGCTTCTACCTTTCCTCGTCTCTTTGGAATCACATTTTAGAATACTGAAGTCAAGAGAACTAAATTAGGGAAAAATTTCAATGACAAACTATTTTTGCATTTCAGGTAGAAACAAAATAACAGTACTGATACAGAGTTTTGCCCCAGAATTAATACAAATGGGGAAGTACACACACACACAAACACACACACACACACCAAGAAATACAATGTATTATGGAAGCTCTTGTCAGATCTCATTTTAGAAAAAGTTCAAGTAAATTGATCACCATTACGATCTTTAGATTGTAGATGTGGAGGAAAAGAATAAAAATTACACATTGCTGCCTTTCCCTATTACCAAAGAAAAACTGGAAACTGATAACCTATTACTACTGTGAACTGAATTACTATATGAAAATAACATGTGGCGAATCAACAAAAGCAAAGATTGACTGTTTATTGGTAAATTATAGGTTGCAACTCACACACATTGTACAGTATTTGCTTGCTGTGAATGTATTACAACAGTGGGTAAGTACTTGGAATGCTACATCTTATTTCAGTGACTTTTAGAATTAGTTCTTGTAAGAACCTTTTAAACAGAATTCTTGCCATAATATTTCATCACAGCACAAATGTAAGTCACCCTTTATAATTTCACCAAAGAAATACAAGTATGGTAACCATGGCCTAAAGAACACAACTCGAGTAGACCACCAAAACTTCATTGGGTTCACTGAGGCAAAGGTAGAGCTTTCACATTGGGAACAGATTTGTAAGCTTATCCAGGCACAAAACAACTGTCTGCCTCTTGTTTTAATCAAAATTAAGGGATCTGTCAGACAAGTTTTTTCACATCACCTTTAAGCTCTTTTTGAGATAACTAGCCAATAACCACTTAGATATAAGAAACCTGGAAAACAACTAAAAATCATTGTTAAAGACCTTCCATTGTATCCGCAGTGTTTGGCCTACAGTATTTGGATCAGCTTAGGTAAGTAAATCAGTTTCAGATTTAGAAGGTAATACATACTTTACTTCTGTGATCCCTATAAGTGTATTAAGATTTCTTTATATTAAATATAAAGAATAAACTCTGAATTATCAGTCTTCATCATGTACAGTATACATGTGCTTACTGTTTTGGCAAATTTCAAAACTAAACTGGAGAATGTTATGATCATACTGTCAATTGCAGTGCAATGTTTAAAAGTTTATCTCTTTTGGAAAATAAATATATTTCTGTAAACATTCAAAATTGCATCCTGTTATTCTACATGTTGGAACAGCTGTTTGTACTGCAGCTAGCAAAAATAAGTTAGCAATATCATCTCAATAGGCTGCCTGCAGACTGGACAAGGTTTGTTCCTTTTCTTCAGCTTTTTTGCACATACAAAACATGACATTAAGTGTCCCGTCCTTCCATGTACTATGCAACCATTTTTAGGTCTTGTCTGACATATGACACAAGGCTCTACACTGGAGACAGGCTGCCCCAGTTCCAGTTTTTCTTCTTTGTCTTCAATGTCTTCTTTCTCAGATTCTTTATAGTCTTCTTGGCTACTATAAACCATACTGCTAGATGTAGATGGCTGTGAATATGCCTCACTTTCCTGAGATTCGGGACTTTGTTCTGCACTTTCCTCTTCTTTATCCTCATTAATTTTCCCTTTCTTACAGTCAGGAACATCAAAGCCCTCCTCAGGATCTAACGGTGAGGAATTTAGAAATTTGTTCTTGGCTATGTCAGTCTTTTTATCAGGAAGCCAGTCCTTCCGAAGAGTCCAGCATCTTGGGCAATGGGATGGAAGAGGTGGGTTCATTTCATTGCACTTTGAGCATTTCCAATAATCCTTTGGTGAATTAAATAGAAATAATTTGTGTTAAAGCAAATGCTTTATCAAAATAAAAGATAAACTATAAAGTTATTTGTACACATGATGGGCTCTAAGAAGATCTCAGAAGGGTCATATTTTTAACCAAAACTACCCTCTCTGATTATTGCAAACCTTATTTGTAGAAAATAAACATGTAAAGTCAAAACAATGGCACTTGCCATAGATGCATGGTAATCTAGAAAGATGTTGAAGAGCTAATTACATTGGATGCTTTCACATATATAAATATGTAAAGCCTATACTTCTTCTACATTCATGAAAGATTGAAGCTTTGTATATAAATAGCAATTGACTGGAAGTCCTAAGTCAGATGCTTTGGCCTCTGGTAAGATATGAGGTGAATATATTCTGAAAGGCAAAATTGTCCATGACTGGAACAAAATTTCATTGTAGAAGTATTTTAACTGGCCAGGATCTGGACTGCTCAATATACTTTAGGGTACAGCTATTCACAGCACTTTGGCTTTAGCCACAGAACAGTTGTGCTTAAAGAAAAATGATTTAAAATTGATACGTTTTTGCCAAGATTATTTCAGGAGATGATCCTGACAGGATTTCAGACGGTGCCATATTTATTGTAATGCACTCTGCTGTCCGAGATACTTGATTTCCTGCAGAATGATTTGGTGATATACACAATTCACATTTTGTTGCATCAATGCAATCACATTGATCCTATTATTAGGGAAATTATTATCATTCCACGTGTAAGTTTGTGAAAAGGGAACAATATATATTCTTTCCTAAAGTGTTATTGCCCAATAGTGGTGGTGGGGAGCGCTTCCCAAGGAAGAAGAGTGCAATTTGAAGTACAACACATGCTATACATTCAATCAATATATCCCAAGCACCCAATAGGCAACCTCCCGTGAGTCAGGCAGCCCCGCAGCATGTCTGGATCACCTGTCTTCTCCCCCTCCCCCTCTCCCACTAAGCTCAGAATTAACGATATTTGCACTGCGCCAAGGGACTGGCGGCTGCATCCAGATACCATCGACAGCTGTACACTTGCGGTCTCTCGTGCTGGCCACACCCATTCTCCCAGGGTTATTTTTGGAGTAGGGCTTATATTAGACCCACCCGAAAAAATGAGGCTGGGGCTTGTTTTCGGGGTGGGTCTTATTTTCGGGTAAACTCACTCTCGCTGTGCGTGCGTGTGTGTGTGTGTTTACAGACAGATGGATCATCTCCTGGAATAAATTAAGGAATATGTTGAAAATTCAAAACTGCAATTTTTCTCAAATCAAGGTTTTACTTACTGCTAGTGAAATTTCAGGGTCTTCATCAAATGAATCTATATCACTGTCTTCAGTCTGATATATAGTTAACTGATATACCTGATGAAAAATTAAATTGTTTTTAATTAAAATTCACACAAATTATAACTCTAACGTTAATTTGTGAAGTTTTAATTTTCTTTCATCAATGAAAATAAATTTCATCATTATTTTACCATTCGAGAAGAAAATACAGTAATTTCTCCATCCCAAGTCAATGACTATTTACTTTTAGAATACTTTAAATCAATAAAATCTTATTAGAAATTATTGAGAACAAGATTGTGATAAAAAGGAAAGCTACCAGCTTCCTACTCTTTCAGAATACTTTCAAAATTAGCTATAAATTGTACTACACAATTACTTATTTTAAAAAGCTAGAGGTCCAGTTCAGAAAATTAAAACATTAATTAGGCTATTCAAAACAATATTTGGCTGCATATAATGTGCTAAACCATATCAAATAACTCATATCATAACTGCATCATAAGTAAACCCAGCCTTTGTCTAAAAGCTTTGGGGGATGGAAGCAAACATGGATTAAGAGAGAAAGGTTTATAAGCATTGCACAGCCTCAGTACATTGTTTTTGACATTATTAGCTATTTTTGAATTTCCAAATTTTTTATACTAATCTTCAAAGAACTGAGAACTTGTCAATACACAACTTAATCAGACACATTCGAAGACAAATGATGTAGAATTTTGCACTGAAAAGTCCTATGTTTAAAACCTGGATTTCATTTTCAAAATGAGGGGTCTTTGATGGTCTCTGAGCTTGTTTTCTTGCAGATGTTTCATTACCCAAACTAGGTAACATCAGTGCTCAGAGCTTTGCCCTAGTTTGGGTAATGAATCGTCTGCAAGAAAACAAGCAAGGTAAGAAACCACCAAGGACCCCTAATTTCAACTCCAAGCTACAATTATTCCTCTTTATTGATTTTCAAAATAGAATAAAGAATATGCCATTCAGGGAGGAAGCATTTTCTCCCAGCATCAAACTTTATTTCTTCATTCAGACTCCTTTTATATATAGCAGAAGGACTTACATGAAGATCTGATAATAGTGAGTAGCAAAGGTAAGCAGAACTTCTGAAACTTCACAGAAATGTACCTCCAGATTTTGAGAGATTGCTAGTTCGCTTGGTTATGTTCACTTTTAAACATTCCTATATGAAGTTACATTTCTCAAACAACATTCCATCTGATTTTGGTTCAAATATACATACTTCATCATCCTCATCTGTTAATTCAAACCCTTCTTCATTAGGACTATAGTCTTCTGAGTAGATAGATTCAACTTCAAACTCTACACTGAATTGATCTGAAATCGAATCTTCATCTAACCAGTCTGAATTTTCACTTAAACTGGCACGATCCTAGAAAGAATGTTTCTGATTAGAATAGTAATGAAATTTAAGAGATGAGGTCCCTAAAATTA